ATTACAAATATCATATGTGTTTTGGAGACATTTAATTGCTTTCATAGACATGGTAGATACAGTAAGTTGGACAGCTCATTAATCAAGTCAGTTTACATAATGTTAATTCAGACTCTGCAGCTTAACCTCACCTGAGCTAGACACCTGGGGCACCTCCAGTCTCCTTTGGGGACATCGTGTAGAGGAGGGATCAGGCAAAAAGTGTGATAGCTGTCGTCACAGCCGTCACACAGCAACAGACGGTCTTCATCTCCCCCACTGGCACACACCAGACACACAACCAGATCCACCTGGAAAACAAAAGGCATTTGTAGTGAAAATGTTTGAGCCATGATCCACTGACAGAGGTAACAAAGATTATCTGTAAAATACTCTTCTATTCAGAGCCTTAGATTAAACATACACTTAGTTACAAGTTTATTATTAGCTACAGCTGAAAATAATGCAGTCTAATCCAACAGTCCTGCAATAAATCCTGCACCATGACAGTGATTTTTCATCAAACTGTTGTGTTTATTCAACTGTATGATCATTTTGGACGATGCAGTTTGTGCTGCGTTATACAGAGCGCTATTGCTATTATTTAACCGAGCTTCATTATTTAAAACGGAAAAAAACTAGTTTAACAATCTAGTTTAATAAACTGGCAACTAGTGTGTTTTCTGAAATGTAGTCTAATGTGAATTTCAGATATTGAGAGCGCTGGGATATGTAATAGTTAAATGTACAGTGGACAAAGGAAATCTAGTTTATATCATAAGTTTAATGTTGGTGATTTAAGCTGAGTTTGGATGTCTGATGATCCATTAAACTGACTAGTGTACTCATTTTTGAACAGGTCATTTGAGGTCTTGCACCAAAGGCCTTTCTACTTACTGGACTCGGAGGTACTGGAGGGATAATTTTCTTGTATCGAGACTTGGATTTGTCAGCTTCGACGACTGGTTCTTTACTTTCAACTGGTTCCTGTTTCACTGGAATGGGAATTTCTTTTTCTGCAAGACAACAGGAAACACAGCTAACGTCATTACCAAGAGTAGCCCTTATGTAATAACAATTTTCTAATTTAAATAACACTTCACTTAAACTCTCCATTTAGTATTCACAGGCAGTATATAAACATTTAACCAATGGTTTCTAACCCACTGGTGGCTAGAGCCATTGGTGTGAGTTCACGCTGCAGATGGCTGTCTCGGTTCTGTACTGGAAACAAATTCCCTGTGTGTGTGTGTGTGTGTGTGTAACATATTTGGCCAAATAAAGCAAATATTGTTATTGTTACCACTGGAAAATATACTGAAAAAACTTAGAAGAAAGCAAATGGACGTAGCTTTATGCCTTCATCTAAGTTTTTTTCAGCATACTACGACCTGGATGACTGAGAATTTGCACGGACACTGTAATATATAATCATAAAGCAGTTTTTACAGTAAGTGTAAAGTACTTGTCAACAATTAAAACCAGACATTTTTTATTATTACAACTGTGTTTTACTATATTGTCATTCATTATCCATTTATACATGAGCCTCTGCTAACAAGTTCCTACAAGAGACGTTACTGTTGTTGAAAAATGCATTAAAAACACTTAAACACACATTAAAAACACACTTAAACATGTACAGCTTTGAACTATATTACAGTTACAGCTTAAAAATGCTGAACACTGGGGGTTAAAGTAAAGTGCTAGAGTAAATACGGTTCATTCTGGGATGTGGAGTCTGACCTGGCTCTGGCTTGGCAACAAAAGAACCCATCCTCCGCCGCAGGTTTGGCCTGTTCTCGCCGGGCTCACCTGGTTCAGTCTTCACATAGATGGCCTATGGAGACAGTGAAAAGTGAAACTGTCAGCAGCTTTAAACTATTAATACTGTGATGTGTGTGTACGGAGGATTGTGAAAAATGAAATCAGGTGTACGTGACTCTCACACCCACCTCACACTTCATGCGTTTGGCTCTGCGAGCACTGGGGCAAACATCAGGCGCCTGCACAGGCTGCCTCTGAGGCTGCTCCGGCAGTTTGGGCTCCTTGGCGTCCCTGCTCTCCATGCTTCCTGTGCTTTCCTCCGGCTGAAATGGCTTCTGAACACACTGAAGGAAATTATACAGCAGTTAAAACAATATTTCACTGTCTATTAAAAAGCTTGTGAGTATATGCTCAATCACACATTGATCAGTAAGATTACAATGGAAAGTTTTATATAGCTTTTATATAAAAATTACAGGGAGGATAGATTTTAGTCTAAGACAAGCAGTGTGAGCATACCACAGCCTCCATTTTAAAAGTATGTACTTCAGTTTACAAGCAGTAATAAAATAAATAGGACAATCCTACACACTAAGTACTAGAAAATAAAAGCAGCTATCAAATGTGGTTGTAAGACTGGGAGACACTATCTAAGGAAATGCTTGGTATCAATGTAGCTTCAACTTAACCAGCCAGAAGACAAAACAGGCCAGATGAAGAATGTGGTTAGTTACAATCTGTCACCCAAACAGGGAGCACAAAGGAGAAGACATGCTAATCAGAATAAGAAAGACAGGTTTGAGCAGAGGTGTGCAGGTAATGAATATCAAACCTTCAGGAATTGCCTTTAACTTAGCAGGTTAATTAATTACAGCTGCATTTGAGAAGGACAGAAGAGAACAAAACATCTAATAGTCACCTAACTGCTGCCTGTTGTCTGTCACAGTAACAAAACAATTGTTCCTCTCCATTTATCCCAAAATACTGTACGAGTTAAATCTAGACTGCCCTGCAGAGGAGAAGGTCATGCGTTTGATGTGAACATCAAAATAAAACTGTTCAAAGAGGGGTTAAAGTAGCAGTGTTGTCATGTCTGCTAATAATGCATCAAGAAGCTGAATACTGGTGGTGTAATTTCCAGCCAGAGATAAACATGCATTTTGTTAATTGTGAGGCCAAAAGGCTTCTCGACCATGACACCAATATACCTTTTCAAGTTCAGGATCACCCTCCAAATGCATCAGTTTGGAAGCTGGCTCTGGTGCCTGAGGCAAGAGAGAGCTTGGGTAATTACACAATTTAGAGCCACCTGTCCAAGAGGTCACACAGTACCAATCCAATGACCTTGGATATGCTCTCTTTCAAGATATTTTAAAATATTAGGGTGTAAAAGCTAATAAACCACATGACAAGACACCAGATGTCATTCAAACTTTGATATGTAAATAAAATATAGCATATGGCAAAGATAAAACCTGTAGTCCAACACAAAATATGTATATTCTCATAATTTATCTCTGTAGTTTTAACACTGCATTGCAATAGTTCATAGGCCTATGAACTTCCAATTTAAAGTGGAACATATCTGACTTAGCATAATACAATTGTATTTAAAAAAATTCAGTAATGATAAAAGCTATATATAAGCATTATTAGGTCTTTGTTTACAGATGAACAACGGAGTGGAAGAAAAGGACTCCACGCTCAACCACAGACAAAAACAAAGAGATGGGTTTATTTTTGTGGGACTGTATTGTTTAAGGATTTTCAGAGGCAGATCTGAAGACATCCCTGAGGGCAAATTACTGATTAAAGGGAATTCTTGTTGATTTGGGTGTGCACACCTTCTAACTTTGCTGTGTTGTGGCTATTTACAGATGAACTATCCATTCATGTATACATGACAGTATTTCTTTGTACACATCACCAGAAGCAAGATATGCTGTCATAATGACACATCTCAAACTCACCAGCAGGTTTGCTCCATTCTGAAAAAGATAGTAAGGATAGAGGAGTCTCTCATAATGCCCTCGCAGGTGTGAGCCAACAGCTTTGCCAGGGGCGAAGCCCATTTGTAGTGCAATCTTGGTCCAGCGCCTGTCCCGACAGACAACGTCAAATCCGCCCTCATCTGCTACCAGCTGAAATGACAGTAACATTACTGACAGGGTTCCATTTTTAATTTTGAAAATAATGTGCTGTGATTCAATTACCAACCTTATTTAGCTTATACAAATCCAAAATCTTCCTCTCCACATGAGGAATCTTCAGGGCGCATCCCTGCAAATCCCAGAATTTGGCAATCTGGTCCAAAAAGTTGAGCTTCACTCTCGTCTGAGCCTGGGAAAACAGATAAGCAGTTACAACAGTCAGCTAAAAATATATCAGGCTCAAGGAAAGCAAATGAGACAAACGCTGGAGAAAATTAAATAGGAGCCATATTTGTCCAGAAATGCTGTGTTAAAAATAAATGAATAAATGCACCTTTGGCTTCATTTTTAAAAGTCTAGATTAATTCATATTTAAGCGTCATAATTTCCAGTTTCCAATTTATGCTTTATATTACTGACATTAACATTATTACATGGCATTAATACCACTACTTTTCTTTGTTCCACAATTGTTATAATCAGTGTGGCCCGTGTAGGCCTAGTACTCACATCGAGAAGGTGAAACAGTGGCAATTAATTGTACAAAGTTAGAGTTCAAACACACAAACATAGATATAGTCAAATTATCACTGCTATTATCAGACTTACAAAACTCACCTCCAATTCATTGAGCCTCTGGATCCGAGGAACAAAGTGAAGTTTGTCCACATCACAAGCAAATGGAGGCTGCCAACCCTAAACAGCAACAAAAGTACACATGAAGGTCATCATATCACCTAGCCTGGACAGTAATATAGTGGACAGCTTTTATTAAACCAATGTCATTCTTGGATTGATAAACCATATTACAAAGTTGAGGGCTATCGACTTGTGACAGTTGTTTTTCACAGAATGGACCCAAATTCTGGAAATGTTATTTTTTGTTAAACCCATCTTGATTTAATGAAACCGGAATTAGGTGGCTAAAGTCTGGGGCTACATCACTGAAAGTTCTGATGGTATAATCAAGTTTGGCATTAAAACAATACCGCTGATAATAAAAGAACAGAGTGATCCTTTTCCGTTTATAGCTCAAAACATCAATCAATATTTGAGTCAACAGCACACACACCCTAAAATATACAAGGACAATATACTGTCAAACAAGCACAGATCCAAGTTCTTCTTTAAAGTCAGCAGACAACATCACCCAACTGGCACACAAAATGGCCCAATGGAAGACTTGCTCAGCAGCCCAGCTTACCACAAAGCCAACATGGAGGACAACACCCTACAACACAGGCTTATACATGAACAGCTGCTCATCTTCAAAAATTATAATAATGGGCAAAACAACTTTATTGTTGTACAATATGGCGGGTTAAACCAGGGCTTCAAAAGTCACAGCGTATTAATTAGGAACAATATGGGCCTTTATAATTAGGTAACCCAATATGTCTTCTGTCTCATCGTGAGGGCGTTAATTTAACATGTCAATATAAAGAGATTATTATCTAGTTACTTAGCCTGGCGCTTGACATAAATACACACTGCTTCAGGCAGACTGGTCAGCAAAAACTGTCAGTTGACCGAGAAGTGTTCACTCATACTGAAATACACTGAGTGACCCAACTACACCATGATGCTGTTTAACAAATAACCTAATCCATAATTAACTGTAGAGCTGTCAGGACATTTAAGGACAAAACGCAAGAAGACGTGCTAACATCCATGTCTATAATGAACATATCACCATCACCTTCTATGCAGCAGAATGGCTTCCGCATAGCCACCTATGTCAAAGAAGCCGTGTGCTCAATTATGACAGGTTGGGCTGTTAGCTAGCCTGCTAGCTACGAGGCTCAATGACCGGACCAACGAGACTTTGTTGACATACGGTGAACTGCAGCCATTGTCCACCTTTAATGCACTGACACGTTTATACTGCTGCTAACAAACTCAAAGTCGACAAAAACAACACAACGTAAATAATCCCAAAATAGAGCTAGCTAGCAGTGGCAGCACAAAGAATGAAGATAGCCGTTTGTCCGCCATGTTGAACAGTCCCTTTAAATCCCCAGGTCCAGCTACAGCCGTCTTAAATCAGCATCCGTCGGTCCAACGTTTTATCGCCTTTTATCGCACTCACCGGAGGCGGACGGACTTTGCAAATGCCAGTTTTTTCGGCGATGGGACGGATCTTATTGATGAAAGCATAGGGATCTCCAAATTCTTCCCAGCTGGGCTCGAAGACCGGGCACTCTGGAGGAGGCTTGAACTCGTCCGGCCGTGGCTGGCTCATCGTTTCGGACCGACCCGGTTGTCAGTGGGACAGGACGGGTCACTGCTTAAAAAAAACAAAAAGTATCGCCGTGTTACGGTGCACCTGGAGGGTTTTTCTTTTTTTACAATCCCGTGTTCACCGTTAGACTCAGAGGCAGTCACTCGACATCTACACGAGAGGAGGCAGATTACACACACATATACACACAGTAAAACACACAGCGACGCACAGTGAGGAGAATGTTCCAAGGCAGTGAGCACGTCCGCTGAAGAAATTAGACACCACACAGTTCTTATTAACGCCTTTCCGCTGTGTTTGTTATTTAATCCACTTTTTAACAAGTAACTAGAGCTAAATATGGTTCCCATTATTGGCAGCCGTCTGGTGTAATAAAGTTTTCAAAAGTATTTTTTTTATTCCTTTCCATTTTATATTGTCATGTTTTATTCTTTAATCTCCCCATAGCTTTAAACTTCAAATCTATACACCTCCTGTAAAGTTGAAGAAAGCCAGTTGTTTTAAAGTTCTGCTTCATCTAATTACTTTCATTGTTTATGAACACACAGAAAACCTCCAGCACAATAGTAGTGTTTCCTCAACTGAAAGGCTGCAGCCAACTGTTACTGTCACTGTTCAGTGTATAAAATGTAAGAAAATAGTGAAATTGTACATCATAATTCCAGTGAACATATTCTCTTGTTTTCTTGGTTTATGCATTAGTCCAAAACCCAAAGATACTGGGTTTATTATCACAGAAAACTATCAAAGCTATTTGCATTTGAGAAGCTGATACTAGTATATTTTTGTTTATTAAAGTAGTTTTTAAAATAATTTAAAAAGTAAATGGATTATCTGTCAACTGACTAAACAATTCATTAATTAATCATTTCAGCTCCAGATTCCTGGTTGGTTTCTGGGGAAACACTTAAACTGGCAAGTATAGTGGGGTTCATCAGAGCCCAACAACAAATTATTGCCTTGGGATTTCCTAGAAGACCATGCTCTCCTGGCACTGGGTTCACTGAAGTGATGAGAGATGAGCCTTTTCTGGTGACTAAATGTGCAGCCATTATCCTAGAGCCAGAAACTGACATATTAATAATAATAATCATACCTAAGGCTAAATGATATTTTCAGAAATATGAATTGGGCTTGTGTAAAGCACTGATTAATTTTGGGGCCTCAAACCACAAAATTAAAAGGATACAAATTAAAATGTTAATTTATTTACATGTTATCCAGCAGTAGCCTATAAAGTGTAGTCTAATTACATTTAGCCCCACCTCACAACATTAACTATTGTAATACAGTAGTATAGAATAACATAGCCTACATTATTCTGAAATGGGCCATTCGTTTTTACTACTTAGCCTATATTTTGATGGCAAGACTTTGCTACTTTTACTTGAGTAAAATTGGAATGGATGACTTTACTTGTAACAGAGTAGGTTATTTCTAATTGCCTTTTTGTGATATCCTGGGAGACCAGCGGAGCCTACGTCTTCTGCCAGTGAACGTTTCCATATATGAAGCAGAAAAGACGAGAGCAGATTGAAACGACTGTCTGCTCCACATGAACATCGTTCATTGCAACAGTCCTTCACATTTTCCACTTCATCGCTGGTCTACAACAAATGGCATCTACCATTATATTACAAATAATTTGTGTTATTAACATATAGGCTAGTAAACTGTAATATGCAAAACAATCCTTATGTTTACATTTGCGCGGATGAATATGTTCAGGTGACACCTTCACGCCTACCGGGACTTGTTGTTTAAACTGTCACTTTGTGTAGCCTAGTTTTATTTCTCATGAATGTTTTATATCAACTCCTACTAAACATTTACTTTATCGCCTGTGTCCAGTGGCGTAGGCTTGGTTTCAGAAGAAAGAAAGAAAACATACACATTTAGCCCTATGTACGTTTTAGACACTTGAGATGCTTCTCATCACAATAGCACCAGGGAGGCGTCTGTTCTTCCTACATTATGACACCGTCCCCAAGAATACAGACACAATGGTCCTGCAACAGATGGTGACGCCCCCACAGTCCTCCACATCATGGATTCCGTCTGGGATCCCAGGAAGAGACAGAAGACACTCACACAGCCTAATGCACAGAAAAACCTTGTCAGGTTCTCCAAGATTTATATTTGTATTACTTTGCATTGGTTTGTGGCCTTGATGCTTTATTTTTCATACTTTGGTTTTATGAAGAATTACTTACAAACATAATTTTGAACTGATGACTCAGAAATTTGCCAGCCAGAGAGAATAGTGCATCAGGCTGCTTCTATGGGGTGTCAGAGTTGAAAACCAGGTTAAATAAGAACTTAAGCAGAAGTAACATAGCAATAACATTTCGCACATCTCATATACAGTATATATACAGTATCTATCTATCTAGTTGTCCACCATGAGGGCCCAATCAGAGTGATCTAAGGAGGTGTATGATCAAGATAGCATTATAATGCTCCCCTACAGCGGCAGATGCCTAAGTAGCTGGTTAGATGGAGAACTCCAGCTTGAATTTCTAGATATAGCCGACAGACGGATGCCCCAACAGCACAGAGGTGAAGCCAGAGCCAGTTCCCCCTCAAAAGGTGTGAAAGATGAGGAACCCCTTTAGCTCTGTGTACTGGGCTGTCTGATAAGAAGGACACAAGGACAGAACAGTTGTCACCGACTTAAATCTGTAAAATTCTTATTATAACAATAAACAACAGTGTGACCATATGAAAGGGCTTGGTCATAGAGATGAACTAAAGGAAATGAACACCTCAATCTACAGCTCCCCTCGGCTTTACAGAGCTTTATAGTCAGTCTCAGGACATTGTTTAGCTGTCTCACCTCAACTTTACTATCATCACTCTCATTATGTTGTTTTCAGCTCTAAAACCCCATTGTATGCCACCTACTCAACATCAAATGTCAGAACGACGAGCTGGTGAACACAGTGGAGCATTCAGTAACTATAGAGATATTTCCCTCAGGGAGACAGAGTCACTTAGGAGTTTGAGCACTCAATTAAAAATATGACCCGATGATGGCACTAGATGAAGAATTAGAGGATCAGCAAAGTTACATATCATCCTGAGGGGAGCACGACTGTCTGCAACAAATTTCTTAGCGATTATTAATCTAACTGATGTTGAAACAAACACAAATGTCAATGTCATGAAGGAAAGTCAGGGGACCCCCAGTCTGTAGGCTACATTCTCCAGGGAATGTTTGGAAAAACATACCATGGCAATCCATAGTTAACATATTTGAGTGTTGACCAAAGAGCTGGACTGCCCAACCAACATACTGTAGCTGGCATGCATTTATTGATACTACATGGCTGAAAAAGTATTTAGAAAGGGGAAAAGTAAGCAAAGACCAAATACAGCGAGACATACTGGGAGGTTGGATGGTGAAACCAGATGACCATTTTGTACCATGCCCTTATATTAAAATTGACACATTAAGCTGTATAGTGATAAAAACTGATGCATCTAAACTGCAGTTTGTAGAACTGGAGACATCAAACTGCTCTGAGTGACTGGTTGTTCTTCACATATTCCTTGTGGGTATGAACGATGGGTTTTCTTACCAGAGATGCCATTGGCTCAACTGACAAGGCGTGAAACAAGTATATGGCATTTTGCCTCCCTGCACAGCTTAACAGGTTTTTAGATGCAACACGGATGAAACATGTCAGCTCTCATTGTGTTTATTCAATTCCCAGGGAACAGTGATGTTAGGACTTGTGTCCTACATGTACATGTCCAAATGTATAAGCTGATGAAAACAAACAAATCACATGCACCTCATACATGATGTGATTTTTAATTTTGCCAAATAGAGGGACAAAGTAATTAAGAGTACAATTCAGTCATCTTCTAAGACAATATTTATCTCTAAATATATATTCTGAGAGCAACAATAAGTAATAAACCTTTTGTAATAAAGTGATTTGAATCTAAAAGCAATGCTTACAGGAAGAATTACAAAAAGGGGCTGAAAGCTTGACCCCTTAACGACCTTGCAAATGCAAAACAAGTTCACTCAATAACAAGCCGGTGTAGTGTAACTATCATCAAAGTCAGATGGGAGGCAACAAGAATGTTCACTGTTCAATGTCAGCCAAAGTCATAAGGCGTATAGCAGCAACTGGAGTCTAAATATACTCCATCTTTGTACGTTTTCTTATGATGAGTAGAAATATATTGCACTTTGAAGACAAACTGCAAAAATAATCTCACAGCTAACGACAGCAACAAGTACCATCAAAGAGAGTCATGCAAGTGGCGATGGGCTCCTTGGAGGCCTCTTCTGAGGTGAAGTCTACCACGGCGAAGCTGAATCTCTGTTGCACAGTCAAAGTGGTGAAGGGTTAATCCAGTACAAGTGGCAGGTCAAACCGCTGCAGCCTTTTTGTAGCTATTTGCACACTGGCGAACAATACATCTCTCCTTGTGTGGCTCTGTTTTAGTGGCATTTTAGCCACATCTAGCTGCCTGTCCTCCTGCCTGCTTTTCCTCTTGTGGCTCTTGGCAAAGATCACTTTTCCCGTAGAACACAGACGCCTGCATCGCACCGCTGTGTCGCCATTGAAGTAACAACCTCCCAGGAGTCGATAACTGGGTCGTAACATTCAATACTGTTGAGAAGTGAGTTCCCATCATATCTAGAGAGAGAAATGGGAGAAGCAAAGAGGAACTGAGAATTTGAACCATGGTAATCATCACTTTTTCACATAGTAATGTTGAATAAGGTTCCATTACTGCACTGTGCAGCCCACAGCAGCATTCTGTACCAACCTAAACACAAGTTCAGTCAATGTAAATGTACGGTGTCACATTATAATTGTGCATGTGTACCTTGGAGACCTGATAGCTTCCAGTCAGGTGCCACAATTAAATTATCCATATAAAATTTTTAACTTATGTGATAACAAGAGAACAAGAAAAAAACTTGCCTTCACAAAGTTGACTTCACCAAACAGACTTCACCTCAGAGTTTTAGTATTCACTGATACATTGGGGGATATTTACTAAACCTGTTGCAAAGTACTGTATAGTACCCGGCAATGGCGTAGAGACGTCCTCGGAGAACAGTTGCTCCTACGTAACATCGAGGAGTAGTCATACTGGCTACAGTGGTCCAATAGTCTGTTCTGATGTTGTAGACTTCAACAGAGTCAAGGTGTGAAACACCATCAAAGCCTCCCACTACATAGATGTGGTCATTGAGTAGAGCCACACCAGCCCCTGAGGACAGCAGGAAAGTCTCAGAGAAACATAAACACACAGATGTGAGACTAGTCCACTGTGTTACCCTACCTACCGGACCGCTTGGTGGCCATGGGTGTAACACTTGTCCAGTGGCCTGTGTGTGGGTCATACCGCTCCACTGAATTCAGAATATTTAGACCATCATATCCACCTACGAGGAAATATCAGGAAACGGTCATTTAGAGAAATAAGCAGCAAAAACTAATTAATTGTTTAAGTAGTTTTTCAAGCAAAAATGGCAAACATTTCCTGGTTCCAGCTTCTCACTTAATTTGGACACCGAGCTGGGCATTTTTGACTATTTTGTGACTTTTTATAAACCAAACAATTAACTAGTTAATTGAGAAGACAAGAGGCTGATTAACTGATCATGTAAATAGTTGCAAAGCTGACCACAAGCTCTCAATTTAAACTACAGCTAAAATAATTTAACAGTAATCATATTGGCCTGAATATGCAGTTGAATTTTTTGGGGGAAATTACATCAGAAAAAATAGGGTTTTATATTTGAGAATTAGATCATTATGGATAGAGGACTCAGCCGCTCCTATTGTATGGTGCAGCCCTAATATGACCGTCTGTATCCAAGTTATCACAGGCTGAGATATCAAGATTTTTTTTCCTCCATACCCAGACAGTATATAAGTCCACTGGCCACCACCAGACCAGCTCCTTCTCTAGCTGTCTGCATATCTCCCAGCATGCTCCACTGGTCAATGTTTGGGTCATATCGCTCCATGCTGGTATGACGCCGGCTGCCATCGAAGCCACCAGCAACATAGATCATATCTGTTCAGGGCCAAACAGGAAGGAACAAGATGGAAAAAGCTGTTTTGTTATGGTGTACTTTACTGAGATATAAAAAGACCTTCACACAGGATTTCACAGAAAGGGAACACCAATGAAGCCACGAGTCGTTATAACATAGACACTCCCTCACCTCCTAGTGTTGTGGCCCCTGCGAGGCCACGACGCACATTCATGGTGGCGACAGTGTACCAAACGCCGTCCTCATCTGCTGTGTAGTCCAGGCACTCGACAGAGCTGAGCCTCGACCGACCATCGTAGCCTCCAATCACATAAACTCTATCATGCAGAGACACCGTGGCCACGTAACGCCTTTTCCGTGCAATGTTCTGTTTAAGACACGCCTGTCTGTATTAGCCAAATCAGCTGAGATAAAATAAATGAATTCACAAGGTCATCTTTAATATATTCAACACTTACAGGAAGGAAGCTCCATTCTTGAGTTTTTGGATCATATTTCTCTACTATGTCTATTGGCGATTGTTGGCTGCCAAACCCACCAATGACCAACAGGACTTCTTTGGCACCTAAAGAGATCCCATGCATCACTTCTGTTATCAACAGCAGTGTGGATGACAAAGACAAAATACAAGAGACATAGCTCAACTGCTACTAAAAACAAAGTTCCCACCTAATCTGGCTTGTGTCCGAGGGCCCTGCATCTCGCTTCTCAGCTCTGGTCTTAAGTGAAATTTCTTGGCCTCATCAACAAGGTCTCGACATGGCAGGCTACACCGAATGAGGGGCTAAAACATGTCAAGGCTTGATTAATTAAGGGGGAACTGTGATAAATACACCGACACATAATCCTTCATTGGAAGCTTGGCATATTACTGCTCAGCAACTTGCAGCGTGTTATCTGGCTCACCTCAGCATCAATGACATCTGTAATGTAGCGGGGGGTCAGCAGTGGCATTCGAACAAACTCAAGCATGTCTGGCAAATAGGGCTCTCGCTCTTTTCGGTTATGTTTGACCCAGTTTAACACGGCTTCAAATACTGGCTCCTCTGAGTCCACCTACATACAGATATCACATACAAGTGAGAAGAATCACACTTCATTAGTAATGCAACCACTGTAGCTAAACAATACATTTATAAGTATTACTATTAATAGTTCAGCAATTGCAGTTATTTCTGTATTTGCAAGCATACAATGTACCAAAATAAGACAGAACAGTTTGATAAAGGTAAAGCAAGTCATAAATTATCACCCTAAAACCCTTGCATAAGAAAGATGACTAATAATACTGAGGGCTAATTATGCATGACTATGATTTACGTGCATGGTCTAGTTTTATTTCAAAAACAACATAAATGACAGGAAGAACCACTTGAGAGAACTAATGACCTATAAATCATAGTGTGACGATAACTGTGTTTTCACAAAAAAAGTTATATTATGGGAACAGGAATTTCCTGAGCACAAAGGTAAACATAAATAACCCACCCAATCTGCAAGGGTGGGTGAAGTATGGGGTGGGGGTGTATCCGTTTCTCTTTTGCACTCAGGTGTTTGAAAGACATGAAACTCAAGCTCAGATCACAACGTTAAAGACACCTCTTTTTACCATTACTGTTACTGCAGGTATAAACACAAGTGTATCAGCGAGCATATCTATCATTATTGTTATAGGAGTGTTCAGACAAAAAAAAAAAAAACCTTATTCATAGCATTCAGCGACTACAAATCAACCAGTCTCCACAGTGCAACTGACAATAACAGCAAAAAATAGAAAACATCAAGACACCCACTTTTCCTACCTGGATTTCATCACATTTTATGAGCTTTTCAACTTCTGTCTGGCTGAGCAACATGAACTCCTCGTGCTGAACCACTTCTGAGAAATGCTTCTGGGAAAAGAGCTCGGCAGCCTGCATCAGGTCAAGGCAATTGTGAGTTTCGGCAAAGTCACGAATACCCAGACAGTTGGAGGGATCAAGCTGACTCTCCAAAAAGTCACAACATGCTCTTTTCACCCCTGGGGAAAACAGATATATTTGTATATACACAAATGTATCACTCAAATCCATCAAGATCTTGATAAATCTGACATTCCTATCATCAAATAATTTGTCAACTCTTAGTTTGGAAATGCAGAAGCTTTTTTTTTTTTTACTACACTACACCTACACAGCAGTATCGGCTGGCTGAACTCAAGGTAAATCAAGCACCCCTAAATGTACCTTTGAGCTGCAGCAAGCACGCCGCAGGAAGGAGTTCTTGTACGTTCTCCACTGTGACTAACACAGTCTCTGTGTAGACAAAGTCCAGCAGGATCTCCATAGTCGATGCAGTGAGCCCCTGAATGTCAACAAAAGATTTCCCCTTCTCTGCGAGCTAAAGAGCCACAAATGCAGACTATCAGGCACAATGACAAAAAGCATATCATTCAGGTATTATCCTGTAGTTTAGTAAAGTGTAACACTGCATAGGAGACCCCGAGAAGGCCAGAAAAAGAAAATACAACATTCAGATATTTAATTGAGAAAGCAAAAATTACCCTCTTAGTTTTATTAGCCCACGTGTAATATGTTTTGTATAGCGGATGAATTTGAAACATTCCTCTGTTAACATTAAACAGTCAAGAAATAAAATAGTCTGTTACCTCGCTGGTGAACATGGCACAAAAGTAGTCACTGCAGGCAGCTAAGACAATCCGGTGAGCTGGAAAATCAGTGTTCTCCACCCTCAGAGTGATATCGCAGAGTGTGTTGCTCTTGCGAAGTGAGTTCATTGCATTGAGGATGGATTTGGCATGAGAGTTTGTCATGATATCTTTGGGAGCCATACTGCCTTGAGAATCTCTCAGGGATCTCAAACTGCTCCAGAAATCTAAAATAAACAGACAACCTGGTTGAGAACAGTCGCTAGTGGAGAAAGTATTTACAGCGAGTATAATAAGCGTTCACACTGTCAGACCTTTTTACACACTTAATGTATGAAAGCATCATTTGCTGAGTGAGCAACTGTCTATATACTCTGTATGTGTGCACAACATTTGTGTGAGATTTCAACAAAGCTTGCATTGCATAGACACAAGTACATATTTTTGTTACGTGTGATTTTTAAAATAGAGCACATTCGATATGATAGCTGTAGTCAGCAGATTCAGATTTCTCCTGCAAAACATATATTGCATTTAAATGAATATATAATGTTTTACTTTTGTTAAAGATTTCCCACGTTGCATTAGAACATAAATTACCCACAATGTTAAAATACTTCTTGCAGGTAAATCAGTAATTTAACACATTTAAATGGTCCTTTCTTCAGTGTAAGATAAGGACGTCTTTGAAACATTTTGAATGTAACGTTGGAACCTTAACTTCTAATTGAGTATTTCTGCATTGTGGCGTTGATAATGCAACTTACCGTTAAAAGATTTGAATACTTTTTCTACCACTGGGAGGCAATAGCTATAGCTACACATTAGCTAGCAGCAGCCAACGACAGCTCAGAGCTAACGTCAAAGCTAGACAACAACAACTAAGAAAACACAGCCATACAAAGTGAGCTGATGGCCAGAGGAAGACAACACAAGAAGCAACACACAGAGAAGAACATGTCAAGAATTTACATAATACCTGTCGCTGCAGCTTATTCAAAATGTCTAGGCTAAGTTGCTTAGCTAGCTAACGTTAGTAGCACCAAAGTCCCTTGTCCCAGCTCTTGATGTCAGTCACAATGCCTGGAGAAAGACTCTCAGCTACGGCTAAACCATGATGACCTCTGCTAGGTCACAAGATGCGCGGCCTCATTGAGGACACATATATGTCTGGAATTTCAAAATAACCTCATATTATTCCCAGTAAGAGTTTAACCAGCTTCAGTATTTCGTTGACTAAACTGCAGCGGGTCACCGCTGCACAGACTCCAGAGATTGGACGTAAACAGACCGTTACGTCAGTGTACGTGCGCGCCCATGAAACCCGGACGTGAGCCGCACATTAGAATCGTATGCCTCCGCCAACCAGTCAAGTTCATTCAAGCTGCAGTATAGAGTACATGTCTGTTCAGACTTAAATATGTAGAGAAGACGTTGGAGGATTTTAATAAAAGATATTAAGTGTATTTTCTGGCAAAAACGTATAATTCCAGTGCAAGTCCAACGCTACATACACACACGTTATGCACTGTGTGTAGGGGAGGGGGGTAACCTATTGCTATAATAGCAATGGACACTATAAAAAATAATAATATAAGGGAAAATTATAGAAAAATACAACTGAATAATATCCAGTTTCCAGTGAGCATCTGTCTTCACTTAAAAACTATTTTTACAGAGGAGTGCAGAAGACTCATTTTGCAACACCGTCCTTGTATCCAAGTGGATGTTTGTGCCAAATAGAAAAAAAATCCCCCAAGGCGTTCCTGAAAAATCAAGTTTCTGAACTTCTACCAAGTTTATATTCATGTGCACTTTGGTTAGTATTTGTGGGTTTCCTGTTCAACTCTGTCACTGATTGTTTTTATTCCATCTGTTTTCACTGCCATCTGCTGGAGTTGCTCAACTTCTACAGTGTCAAATGTTACAGTAATATTAATACTTTTTTCAGTAATGAGTAGTGTAAGGATCACAATTTCCCCAGATAAACTACAGAAACTGAACTTCACAGAACACACTGATGGAAAGATGATAAGTGGAAAAGATCTGAAGAATGTTCTTGGTGGATATAATGGACATATTACTGATTTCCACTGTTAAATAAAGATGCAACCTGTAGGTGCTGAGGATTTGGAGTCCTTTAAAGGTATCTTTGATGGTGCTGGTAGCTGAGTAATAAATGTTAAGTAATGCATAATGTAACACTTTGCTTTTGCCACTGAGTAATTCATAAAATTATGTAATTACTTCCTGAATGATTAATGCATGATGAGTAATTGATTACAGTTTTCAAATAACTTGCCCAACATGGTTCCCATAGGCATCCATAAATAAACCCAGAATAAATAAAGGTTGACACAGGGGCCCTCTGGGCCTACAATGCAGGCTGATGCTTTGCTTCAGTGGTGAACATTTCTTACAAATGTGCTTTGATATGTAGTATTGCCTGGTTTTACTTTTCCAGCCTTGGCCTTGTCCATTCCCACAGAGTCCAGCATGCCCTGTACTCCTGCTCATGTTATCCCTGGCCTTTTTATGTCTTCCATCTTCTCCTTTCACCCTGGTGTATGTTTCCAACACCTGACATTACATGCTGTACCGGTACATGTTGCTGTTTTTGGTACCTTACAATATGTTGGCTACAGAGACTGGTTGGATGAAGTGAGCTGTTCAGATTACTATGCCTTACTTTTAAATTCATTCATTATTTTTTTTTTCTCTATGTCCTCCTGTATTTGAATAGAATGTAAATGTCTTCCAGAGATGCTGACACTCCTTACTGAAGTTCATCCATGCTGTCGCCCTTTACTATTGAAAGTTTAATGTGATAGCAGCTTGTTTGGCTAGTTTGTCCACTCTTTCACTACCCAGAGTGCCACATGAGCGGGAACCCACATGTACCTGACCTGAGTGCCTTAATACTCTTAAAGATGTTGCCGCTATTTTGACTAGTAAGTCAACTGAACTTCCAGTAACCATACAGGAATAATGGGCCATATCACAGCTGCACAAAACGCCTTTTCATTTACTGCCAAGTCTCTTGCTGCCACATCTCCTGCCCAGTCAAAACCTGACTTTGGTGTTTGCTCTCTTTCCCAAGGCCTGTAGCACTTTTTTGGTTGCCTATCTCGGTGACCTCTCAAATTCATCCCACTGACTAAGCTGTTTTCTGTTTAAACACAGTGGCATTTCTCCTGTCTCAACTTGTAGGGCACATACAAGTGAAGTTCTTACTACGAGCCCAGGCCTAGAAAAGAGGTTTTTGTTCTTTATTTATAATAGTGAAATGCCACGGGGTATTGTAGTGAATTTTTATGTCCTTGTTATCAGTCTTGATAGATGGAGACATGTTTTAAAACTGAATTTCCAGAGCTGATTGTTAAGACTGTTTTAAGGCCCATGTGATTAATACTGTATGTTCCACTTCATTCTTTAATGATCATTCCATGCTTTCATTTACATAAGATGACATGATTCAAAGTCTCCAGTGTTTGCAGTCACCACTTTTCTACTCGGATGTATTCCACTGATTAATATAATTTGGTATGTCTAATCCTACTGATCTGACACTCTTGTTTTCTGTTTATTGACACCTGCTGTGCCTTCTGTGACACTAGCACTGAAACACCTATGCATCTGTTTTGGGCTTGCAGAAAGTCAAAGGTTTGAGTTACCTAAACATGCTTAGCAACCAAACAGGACAGGATCAGACTCCAGTGAACAGTCAGGACTGCAGAAAGAATCATTGGTACCAGCCTGCCCTCCATGGAGGACCTCTACACCTCATGAGTCAAGAGGAGGGCAGAGAAGATCTCTGCAGACCCCTCACACCCTGGGCACAAACTGTTTGAACTCCTCCCCTCTGGACAGTGCTACAGGTCACTGTGTGCCAAGACAACCAGGCACAAGGACAGTTTCTTCCCCCTGGCCGTCACTCTGATAAACACTTAACCCAGGACTGTATAACAGAACGACAACCCTCAGTGCAATACCTTGAAAATATACCTTTGTATATATCTATCTGAAAACCTGCCTCTAAACTGTCTCTATATATTTCTATATTTAGAAGTACTTTATTTTTATTTTCCTAATGGACATTCCATTTCTTTTTTGTTCTCTCAGTCTTGTTTTCTCTTCTACTCGTTGCCTCACAGAAAAACTGTACCAGAGTCAAATTCCTCATGTGTCCAACACACCTGGCCAGTAAAGCTGATTCTTATTCTGATGTGTCCAACACACCTGGCCAGTAAAGCTGATTCTGATTCTGATGTGTCCAACACACCTGGCCAGTAAAGCTGATTCTGATTCTGGTGTGTCAAACACACCTGGCCAGTAAAGCTGATTCGGATCCAGACTCAGAGAATAGCCTACGGAATAAAACATTTTAACCAATAAGTAAAAAGTCAAAATAGTGAGCTTTTAAAAATTCTAAAATGTTATTATTCTTACAGTTTTTATTTTATATCTCACAGTCATTACTTGCCATCATTTTTATTTTCATTTCTTTTTTTAAATATTTTTATCTTGGCTTCACTTTATCATGTAGGCGGAAGTAGGCTTCCATATTTAAACTATGTGTGTTAACCTAGCCAGTTTATGATATTACTTTTTTCTTAGCTACCCTTTTGTCTTTAGCCGTTTATTTTGTATTTTATTGGTATTATTGTGTGTGTCCCTTGGATATAAATTCGTACATTGTACGTCATTTAATAAAGAATAACATAAAACAAGATGCCTTCCGCGCGTCCTCGCTGCTCTCTCTCTCTCTTTGCCGCTGCCGTAGGAGCGATAAAGTGATTATCTCATACCGACAAAGTTACATATCCTGGTCAGAAAATGACACATTCAAGCCGCTTTACACAGAACTCAATACTATATCTTTGCAAACACACTGAGCTGGTTTTCACCGGCCGAGGACGGACGCAGCTCCTCGGAGGAGGAGGAGCCAACGGCGTGTTTCCGCTCCGAGCAGGCCGACAGAGGTAACACGGCGATCGGTGCAGCCCTGCTGAGAATTACTGAACAGTGGCGGAACAGTCGTCTCATACCGAGGGACGGTGTCAGAGTACACATCATTTAATCACCGGGGATCCGTGGGTTTCCCTATCAGTGCAACAAGAAGACGAAGAAAGGGTGGCAGCTGGACTGTCAGCAATGGAAGCCGAGTTTCGGGAAATCGATGAAAACGGGCGCTGGAACGCCATTTACCAGGTAGGACCTGTCGACAAATTAAGGTGGAAAGGGCTGTCGGCGAGGCTGTCACTTTTAGGCCAGATGAGAGGCACCACAGGGCTGACGCATTTCTTTAGTCCTCAGCCCTCTTTAGTTCACTTCGTTTTCCGCCTGCTCGGACCAATCCGATGATTGATGTGTGTGGGTCCCACAGCAGCACAGCCCATCACCGAACGGCACATTTCATCCACACTACACCGTTTATACTGTACACGGAGGCTAGTGCACGTGTGTGGACAGTCGTATTTCAGCCTTCAGTAGTGATAGAGGAAGTGGTAGATCTAGTACTTCACAGTTACTTAGCCCGATACTCTACTCTATTACAAGTAAAGATCTAATGAATGTCCATTATTTTTAGATGAGCTGTTCTATAAAATGTCAGATGATGGTGGCAGATGTTCATCACAGATTCCTAAATTCCAGGTGACTGCTTGAGATCATGTCTTGTGCTTGACCAGGTCTAAAAAACGGTTGTTTTCAGCTTTTGTTTTATATTGTGAACTGAATATCTGGGAGCTCTACTGTCATAGAAGATGAAGAAAGTATTCACCTTTGAAAAGCTGGAGCCATGATATGTTTGGCATTTTATGTGCAAAGTCACTTAATCTATAACAAAGCATCATGTTTTCTAAGCTCTTCATATGATTTCTGTGAAAAAAATGTCTCAAATGTAAAATAAGTAATAAATATAGTGGAGTAATAAGCTTAGTACAACATCCATCCATCCTTTTTTTTCCGAGATTGGGTTGCCGTGGTAGTCCAGATGTCTCTCTCCTCAGCAACGTTTTCCAGCTCTTCTGGTGGGATTCCGAGGCCTTCCCAGGCCAGATGAGATATTTAATCTCCCCAGTGTGTTCTGGGTCTGCCACAAGACCTCCAAAGGGAGGCGCCCTGGAATTGCCACCTTAGTGTGGTGGAGAGGTTTGTGTGTCCCAATGATCCTGGGAGCTGTGTTCTCCAGGGCATTAGCCCCTGTTTGGGTCTCCAAAGGCAAATTGGTCCCAGGGCAGGGACCAGAGTAAGTGTGATTTACAAACCCTGATGAAAAAGGCCACTTTGAGTTGTGCTTCCTTCCCGGATTAGGGAACCTGGGGCACCCTGCTAGAGCTGGACCTGGGAGGGGAGCTCGCAGGGGAGCGTCTGGTGGCCGGGCCTTGACCCATAGGGTCCGGTTGGGCACAGCCCCAAGAAATGACATGGAGCCACTGCCCTCTGGACCCACCACCTGCAGGGAAAGGAACCAGGGTCGGGTACAATGCAAGTCGGGCACTTGGATTACAATATTTTCTTCTGAATTATAGTGGAACAGAACTACAGTATTAAGTAGCAAAAAATACCATAATGTCCACTTAAGTGTAGTACTTGGGTAAATGTACTTAGTGACTTTGCCCTGTTGCCATTCAGTCACCTTAGATTAACTTCTTTTTAATGTTGTGCAAAACATGTATTAATTACAGCTCACTGTCAGTCTGTTTATACAGACCTCTGGTGTAACACACAACTAGGACACTTTTACTGAGTTCTCATGTAATATGTACAGTCACAGAACTAGACAGGTGGAGAATTTGTCTTCAGAATGAAATAGAGGAAGAATCCCCCCCACCCCCCCCTTTCAAGGTTTATTACACCTGCTTAGATTCTGCATATAACAGCTGTGGAGACATTCATGTTGCATCAGACCTTTAACAAGACGTAAATGTGATATTAATGTAATGCTGTTCTTTAAATTTTGTCACAGGAGATCCGCCAGCAGTCCTGTGAACTCCCTTGCAAAGTTGCCAAATCACCAGAAAACAAGACTCGGAATCGTTACAGAGACGTTAGCCCATGTAAGTTTCTTTTTTTCCTTCCTCAGTGCACGTCACAGAACAGTGTTATACATTTATACAGCTTGACCTCAGGCACAAGTATCATAATTATCATCTGAAATGACACGATGTTAGTATTACACAACAGGCATGGCATCGCCTCGCTGCAGATGGACCGAGGTAAGAAAGGATTGTTCGTCAGATCCTTGTTATTAATGTGCAAATATAAAGGGGTCAGAATGGCAACAGTGCGTATAGGTAAAAGCCAGTAAAGGCCTGCAGCACATCAGACTGACAGCATCATAATCATCTCAGTAAACCCCATTCTCTACACTGGTGTTTATGTAGTCTCTGCCATGCACATTATTGTATGTTCATTTATACAGGACCTTGTACATTAATCAACATCTACGTCTAACAACATGGTTGTAAATGTGCCGGGGTTAGCCCAGCAGCTAATTTGCACCCATATTCCTGACATGGCACTGACAAATGATAAAAAGCATTAGTACATAATAAAGCTGAAAAACGACTAGAGGAGGTGAATTACAACAGCTTGTCAGAACAGTCATCAACCAGCAACACAGTCAGACAAGGATAAACCACCTCAAATGCTCTGGAAACGTTTCTAAGACATAAATACAGTTTTTTAAAATCATTTATTTTATTGTTGACACACTGCATTTGACTACTGATGTGTCTGCATATAAGAAATAACTAATGCAGTTCAGTGTTTGCAGTTAATTATTATTGAAAAAAGTGTTTTTTGGTAACAAAATCGCACAGCTGAACTATGTGGTTTCCCCTTCTTCACACTGAATAAGCTATGCAAATTGTACAGACTGGGTTGTAAACAGTTACTGTATATGCCATCAGGCATGGGTTTTTTTGCATTCAGTTTTGACAAGATGTGAAATCAGTAACTTGAAACTTGTTGAGGCTGCTTACTTTTTAACTAAAACGTTCTTTCACTGGATATCAGGAAATGTTGACACCTCAACATTAAAGCCAACAGCTCCCAGCCATGTTTTGTTCAGAGACAGTCGCACCATGTGTTCTCAGCAGCTGTCTGAGGGTTGCATTTACGCTCCCTGGGGGTTGTGCCACATTAAAAACACACAGGCGTACAGTATTTACATGATTCTTTCTTGGCTACTCCTCAGTTGACCACAGCAGAATCCACCTGCAGCTGGGTACGAATGACTACATCAACGCCAGCCTAATCACAGTAGAGGAGGCAAAGAGGAACTACATCCTTACTCAGGTAAGTCGCCTCTGGAAATAGGTTTCCTCAGCTGCGTTCCGACAGTGAAGATCCTCTGCTAGACAGTGCTGTTTATATGATATTGAACATTGTTGTTGTGAAGAACAATGGGGGAAGTATATTACAAGCATTAGCAGAGTTTGACTAGGCTAGGTGAGGGTGTAACTACCCGTGCCGTGATGCTCTATACATATTTATATACCCATCCAGCAAAAAACATGACACTGAAATTAACTGTGCTTGTCACGCTAACCAAAACATGTAGGTTTCTGCTTTATTTTCTAGTAAATCCTACTTAAAATAACATTTAATTTCCTGGATAGCCACATTATAAGTGTGTGTGATGATTTATGTGAGATTCCTCTCAGATCTAAGTGGCCAGATTAAACTGGGTTCTACTAATGTAAATCAGTAATGTGGTAAGGCAGCAGGTCATTTTAAGTCCTCCTCTTTAGGGAGTGTATATCCAGTTGCCAGTTTATTGGGTGAACATAGCCAAAACTAATGCAGTGTAATGTCATGTTGAACTGTACTGTGTGTACTGTTTCTGTTATGTAGCCTACCCTCATTGATATTAGGAGGTGCACAAAGTAATCCCTCAATTTAAGCTTATTGTCCTTGTCTGTGGCAATTGTCAGATAAGTATGTTACACATTAACACAACACAGATGAGCATACCCAGCCCATGCAGACATCACACAATACACCATCATTCACATTCAAGACTTGTTTAGGAAATTTGACCTGGAGGGTATGAAAGTTCAGTTCCTCTGGTGTGGACATGCACTTATATCGACACCACAGACACAGGGGGGAACAGGCAAACTCCACACACAAAGGCACCGCGTCGGCCCGGGCTCGAACCCGGTACCTTTATTATAATGGAGATTAACAAAACAAAAATTCACAAATCATTTTTATCAGCCATTCATATCTCGTCTGGATCTTGGACAGTAAGAGGACAATACTGAGAGAAGCTGTAGTGAGTAAGTCGGAGACAAACAGGAGCTGAAGTTTAGAGATCAGTGTGTGTTGGGCAGGAAGCAGTCTGCTTTAAAACCAGCACGATCAACACAATCAAACGCCTTGCCAAAAAAGATCTTTAAATAGATGTGCACACTTTGGACTGGTACTGTAGTTAGACTAAAAATAAAACCCACTGTTCTCACAGCTTCACTGTCATTCTTTTTTTAGGGACCCCTTCCAAATACATGTGGCCACTTCTGGGAAATGGTGTGGGAGCAGAGGAACCGCGGTGTCGTGATGCTATCTGTAAGCAGTGGTTTCTGTCTTTCTTCACAGTGTCTGACAGCGCTCGTCAGTACCCTCACTGCTTTTCTCCTTTTGTTGTACTGTGCACCGTTCTTCGATTGTAGGTTAAATGTGCCCAGTACTGGCCGCCCAGAGAGGAGAAAGATGCCATCTTTGAGGATAGCAATTTCAAGCTTACCCTCATATCAGAAGACATCAAGTCTTACTACACAGTTCGTCAGCTCGAGTTGGAAAATCTGTCTGTGAGTTTTCCGTCTCTGTTGTTTTTGTTTCTGTGTGTGTACAAGTACACGCTGTCTCAGATTAGGACTGCAGTTTATTAATACTTGGTGTATGTGAGTCCCTGTTTCTTCTTTGGTCTTTTAACTCTTCCCTTGCGTCTTTAAATGTTCCTGTGCAGACCCAAGAGACTCGTGAGATTTTACACTTTCACTACACCACCTGGCCTGACTTTGGCGTACCAGAGTCCCCTGCCTCCTTCCTTAACTTCCTGTTCAAGGTGCGAGAGTCGGGTTGTCTGAATTTGGACCAGGGACCAGTGGTGGTGCACTGCAGTGCTGGCATCGGCCGCTCTGGGACCTTCTGCCTTGTCGACACCTGCCTCTTACTGGTTTGTACAGTGCACCACTATTGAAAGTCAGACTTTACTCTTTTGTACCTTTTTCAATGATATTGTACAGGAAGTTAGCTCACACCTACCTCAAAGTGCAGCGGTAGAATACAACTAAATTCATTTACCATTGTTACAAGCAGTCAGCAGTCTGAGTCTAGAACTCAACAACACTCTTGAAAATGTATTCAGAAGCTAAGATTTGACTTCTCAGTTAAGGTTGTTATGTACTGAATGTTTTCTGTTGTTACACGTAGATGTCCATCCGTAAGGACCCGTCTTCAGTGCGTATTCGTGATGTGCTGCTGGAGATGCGGCGCTATCGAATGGGTTTGATTCAGACAGCAGATCAGCTTCGCTTCTCCTACCTTGCTGTCATTGAAGGTGCCAAGTACATCAAGGGAGACACATCTGTGCAGGCAAGTCGTTCCTCTCTCTTCTGCTCTGTGTCCATTTCACATGGTCTATATTCTTTCAGTAGTAAGAAAGTGCCTATGCACAATTAGCTACATGTGCTGTGACAAAGAAAAACACTAAACAACTAAACAGTTTGTCTTTATTTACTATCCAGTATTTCTGCATATACTCAAAGGATTTATTTTTTTGAAGGAGTCATGGAAAGAGCTCTCAAATGAGGAAGATGATCCTCCAGAGTTCACCCCTCCTCCTCCTCTTCCTCCTCCCAGAGACCCTCACAACGGCAAAGTTGAGCCATCGTTCTTCCCTGAAAATGATGAGATCATCTGTAACATGCAGAGCCGCAGTCTGGGGTAATCATCAGAACCATGTTCTCAAAAGATTTAGTTTCAGTTTGTCATTAGTTTAGACTGTTTTGGCAGCTTATCAACTATTTGTAAAGTCATCACTAAGTGCTTGTGTCATGTGCCGTTTGTTAAGGGCAGAAAAAGCAGTTAAATGGAGGACAGGCAGTACAGTTCCATTTTTTCAGAGCTTTTAAGTGTTGGCAGAGACACTACAGAAACAGTTTGGGTTCAGCCACTGCGAGCCCTGTTCATTAGTCTGATATGTTTACAACATTGGTATATTTGTTTACGTACCACACAGAGCCGTTGATTTAAGTCTGCGTACGCGGCATGTGCTGTTTTGCGTGCCAAATCAAAATGATGCGGAATCAACCAGTCAGTTGCACTAAATCAGTGCATGTAAATCAAACATCTGTGGTGCTGTCCAGCCACAAGCAGACAACCATGCAAACCCAGTCAGTCTAACATGACGCTGTACCATTTGAGGTACGTTGTGTTATTTTTGTGAAATGTAAATTAAAACCTTCCCAGTTTACATCGGTATTAAACAGCATCTTGTCAAGTGCTGGGTCAGATGTTGACCATATTCCATTTGATCTTTTCTCAGCATCTAGCATTAGTGAGCTAACGACAGTTTTGTCAGCTGGTCCACTTCGCTTGAGTCGGCTCTGTCACTTTTACACTTAGCAGCTACTGGATGATGATACTTAAAGCAACTATTTTAATTTCATAATCCCATTATAACACGTTATAAAAGTTTGAATGTTCAAGAGCCGGTGCCACTGGTTTCAGGACTGCTTGTTAAGGAGAAATCCTTTCCAAACTGCCCCTGGGAACATTAATACTCTACTAAGTTTACATTCTTATATTCTTTACTCATTCAGGTCCTCACAAGAGAGAGCATTGCGACAGAGGAACATCGCTGCCCCCCAGCCTCCTCCTGATGGTGCTGACCAGCTGGACGGCCACATGGGAGAGCTAACGTCCAAACCCCAGCAGCAGCAGCAGCAGGAGCAGCACGAGGCCCAGGGGCAGGAGGCGTCTGAGGCAGTGGAGCAACCAAAAGAAAGCTCTCCTGTGCCGGGGACTTGGTCCCCTCTTCTAACCAAAGTGTGCCTGTGCACTGCGCTGGCTCTCAGTGCTTACGCCTGTTATCGAGCCTGTTTCCACTGATGTCTGACCTGTCTTCGTCTGCCTGTTTGTTGCCCCCCATCTTTCCACTGATATTGCAAAGTGGACTATGCTGGCAAATCGGCCTGCTTTGACTCTGGGTTTACTCTGCGAGCGAGTGGATTATTTGGACTTCAGATTCAAGTTCTTTCGTTTAATATTACAAATGCAGTGCGAGGGGTTGGCCGGCTGCCACTCCTTGATACCCTTCCAAACCTTCGTTCACTCTGTCATCTCGAATGCTCAGGGCCTCAGTTTTTCAGGTGTCACATCCCAAATACGCATGCTGACTTCAACAATGACTCAACACAGTGTATTATGTATCAGTGTCAGTAGAGGAAAGGGGTTTGTTTTAGCTTGTCTGTTCTGTGAACCAGGATGAATGACTTGTCAGCCAATTATACGCGTCTCCTCTCTCTCTAATTTTTTTTTTTTTTTTACCAAATGACACTTGTATGTGTTCTTCCATTTCATTCTGTACTTCACATTTCTCTTGATTACACCAATGGATCAGAAATCGAAGAGCCAGATTTTTGACCAGCCTGTCCAAAAACATGCCAGTAAAGAAGAAACTTTTTTATATTTGAATTTTTATTCTTTTGTCAATATTCCAACAATAAAGTTAAGTGTGTGAAAGTAAGAGGGAAGCAACCCTGTGCCCACCAGATAGGAGATGTGTACCGGGGTGGGTTGTTATCTGTCCTCACTCGCGGCCTGTGTTTGGCTGCATGAGTGCATACAGTATGTGTGTATATACATTTTGCGTGAGTTGTGCTTATTGGAGCTTTTTACTGATGCTTGAGTTAAATCTACTCAGTGAGAAATAGTAATATAACATTTCCAGTACATCAGATGTGAGATATGTAGAGTGGGTTGCCTCGTGATGACTGATTCCCCCGGCGTTTTCTGTCCCTGGTAGCTCAGCAGTGGCACTGAGAAAAACAATATGGTGCTCAGACATCTTGTTCTCAACATCCTTGGCATTCTCAAATTGACATTGGAAACATTTTGGGACTTTTTTAAGGTTCTACACACAGGACTTTATTTACCTTTTGGGAGAAAAAAGTTTCAGTCACATGGATAAAAATGTGTTGAGGCCTTTCATGGCTCAAGAGAATGTGTAACATAACGTGAATGCAGCTGGTACATGTTGTAAAGTCTGTGTGTCAGTCAGCGGTGTTATGCACAACAATCCCACCTTAAAGAAATGAGACATAACACCCAACCTTTTCCGCCAGCAATATAAATACTTCATCAAACTCCGAGTTTGAACAGGGAAGCAGGGATTTTGAACAAACCAAAAATCAAACACCAGCACAGGGATGAAAACCTTACACTGTAGTGATGATCCATTGTGTCATAGTGTGGCCATGAGCCAGCAATATTTTTTTATAGTTAAGCTGCTAGCGTTCAGTTTACCTTTGACTCAACAAAGTTCAGCACTTGAGTCTGACAGCTGTACCTTTCTTTAGAATGTATAAATGTCCTATCCAAGGACACATCCTTATTTTTTAGATATATATTTTTTTCAAATCATGTTTCAGTATGCTGTTGTTTTTGTTTTTTGTTTTTTCCAGCTTTAGCAAGGGATTCAGTCTCAGCACCTGTGCTGCCATTGCACCAGGTTTCCCTGTTTTTCAAAAACATGTATTTTTAAACATTTTTACCTTTTGTTGTTTTCCCTTTTAAATAAAAGCAGGTCTACTGTTGATTTGTTCTGATTGTCAGAACAGATTTACGTCTGTAACCTCATCATCTGTCTTACTTTTGAACGATGACAATAGTAATAAAAGGGCACACGTTATCTCATTGTCAGGTCAGTATGAACAGAAAAGGCTGATGTGTCTTATTGAATCAGACTTACTGTGTTTTGACTCGAACAGTACAAAGTAAATCCACTGTGTGACAGAAGAACCAGACAGTTTGGACCCAACAATGTGGTGACAGGTTGACAAGAGCATTTTACATCCCAACACACTACTATTACAGATGCAACATAAATAAATCAATTTGAAAAGGAAAGAGAGATTTTACATGTACATACTCCTGCATACACCTTTAGACAGATAAAAGGGGCTGAGGCGAAAACACTGGCTCAAGTGCTTTATGCACCTGCTGTCAATAAACTAGCTTATTAAGACCTTAATGAAGGAGCTGGTGAACTGTCGAGTCAAAGAGCACACAGTGTACAGGTAGGTCACAGTGCATGTGGGCACGAGTTAAACCTGTATTAAAAGATTTCTCCTGGGTTCATTTGTTTAAGTGATTAAAAGTTCCACTAGTGGTAAAACAGTAGCTCCCCGTGAATGGAAGTTTCTCTGATTCTTACAAAAGCCATTGCTAAAGGGTTTTATGAATTAACTCAGCGGTTACATGTGTTAGGAAGTTGTTTATAAATTGGTTCTAGTCCAGTGTCTGCACTCTTTTTGTAGAAACAAAGTGGTCAAGCGGTTTAACCACTCAAAAATTATTTCTGATGGTTTAAAACTGATCTGTAAAATGTGTAAAACATAAAAATGTTTTAATAAGAATGAATAAAATCGCATTATAAAGGGAGCTGAATGATCTCGGGGAATCTTTCAACAGGAATGTGTTTTTTCACTCTTACTGTGTACTTTCCATTTCCTTTATTATGTTGTAGAAGTAAAGGAGGAGGACTGATGATTCTCTGCTTTCAGAAGGGAAATGACGTGCTTTAAAACACCACAAGGTGGCTCTGTGGGACTGTGACACTCACTGGCTCCTGGCTGCGTCTCTCAGTTTTAATCCAGCCCACTATTTCCTGTTTTCTGTGGTACATGGGCTTGCTCATCACATATGCTTTATTTACACTGAAGGGGAGCAGTTAGTATCCCAACATTTGCTGAACATACACTGCCTACAGTTTTTAAGGTGACAGTGATACTTCGTGTCATGAATATTGCTCTAATTTTATTCAAATTCTAATTGCTTCCATTTATATAGAGTATTTATCATAAAAATATTCTTAGCCTTCCAAAACAAGTCTCCCATTTAATCTGACCAGTCTTACCACAGACATTTCTGCTTGTTTCTCAACAGTTTGTTGTGAAAACACATCCAGTTCATTTTTAATACACACATTCACACAATTTGAAGGGTGATATCAAAAGTGTTCCACTAAACAAGATGCAAAAATGAGTTTATGGCCATGTTAGTGTAAAGATCACCAGAATGAAGAACACTAAAAGAACATGTCCAGGGACGTGTGTTTCTACACTTCACAACAAGGGTGTAGTACAGAGGATTTGGCAACAGTCTTGGGTTGAACTTCCTGTTTGGGAAATGAGAGGCTGGTACATGCTGTACAGGAATGCAACTTAAACAGAGTGAGTAATAGCACTCCCTGCCACGGTTCTGCTGACGTCAAACGAGCCAGCAAGACAGAACAAGTCGCAGAAGGAAAACTACAATCAAGGTGTGACCAGGGACCGGAAGTCATCTTAAAGCCACAGTCATTTCTTCTGAAACTATCTGTGTGACCTCACAGTGCTGTCATGACTTGTGCTGTTTGTACTTGGGAATATTAACATTTCGTTATTATATACAAGTTAAATGTCATTTTGAATCAGATCTGTGGATATCATCTACCAGGGCTCAGAACATAATATGAATCAAAAAAAAGAAAGAAAAAAGTGGCTTGACCAAATGTCAAAGGTGCACTTTGTGTTACCCTTTAGTGCCTCCCTGTTTGTGCATATTGCTGACTCCACATTTGCAATCGACCAGAGCATATCTGTGCTGCTGACTGTTCTAGCACGTGTCCTCAGTTTAGTTATTAACCTGGAACTTCCCAGTGACTGGCCAGCTGTGAGGGGAGGTGGGACCATCTCTGACTGTAAGTCTCTTTTGTAGCCTGCAGATCATTTTCATAGGGTGTCAGCGAGGATCAGGAAATTCCTGAATGCGAAGGGAGTTAGATCCTTCCAAGGGTGACTCTGCAAAGTCTGAGTCACTCCACATACCAGCACTGCACAATGGAAGCTTGATACAAGTACATTGTTAGGTGTACCGTGTCTCTTCATGCCCCTATCATTTCAAAACTGTACATTAGATAATATTAGCCAGAAGGCCTCTACTGGTGCATTTACTCAAATACTGTAAGCTTATTTAAGTACAATTTCGAGATACTTGCATTTTATTTGAGTACTTCTATTTTATCCTACAGGCCTATCTCACATTACTATCTTACTCCACCACATTTCAGGGGAAAATATTGTGCTTTACTTCATGATATACAGTCACCTATATCTGACTGCTTGCCAGATTTCATACTTGGCATAAAAACACAAGGATATAAAATACATGACTAAGTGAAAAGTAAAATTTTGAGAAATATGGTAAATTGCTTTCTTGTCAAGAGTTAAATGAGAAGATCAATAAAATTCTCATTTCTGTGCACTAAATATGAAGCATGAGCCAGAAGCCAGTTAGCATAGCTTAGCATAGTGACTAGAAACAGGGGGAAACAGCAAACCTGGCTCTGCCCTGTCAGCAACTCTAAAACCTACTAATGAACATGTTACATCTCATCTTTTTAATCTGTACAAAGACCACACTGATAGTGCTTGGCTGCTGATTTTCCCACTGCCCAAGTCTTTGTGCTTATCTTAGCTAGTTGCAAGTGCTAGCTTTCAAATGACATTGCTTGGGACCCCTCGCTAAAGAGCAGTTGGTGCTCTTTAGTGATATATACGCAGTGTTTTTTTAAAGCAAAGATTTTAGAAAAGTACAAATAAAATCTAAACTTGGTCAAAGTTCATATAAACAAACACAAATTTGTGTAGCTGAACTTTGGTTTTTTGTGACCCATCTTGTTTATCTTTGGAGGGATGTAGATTGGGAATCATTATATACTGCACTTAACCCAGCTCCATTTCATGCAGGTACAACAGTAAAATACTATTTTGGCCTTAATGCATCAGTGGTAATAAATCAGTCACGGAGGTTTCTGCAGAACGGATGCTTTCTACATTGAATACGCCTGCTTTAAGTACATTTTGTTGATAATACTTGTGTACTTTTACTTAAGTAGGATTTTGAATGCTACTTGTAATAATGTTTATTGTATTACTATTTCTGCAAAGGATCTGAGTATTTCTTCATCTCTGGTATTAGTACTGTGTCCTATCTTATAAATATAGCTACATTTCCTAACCAGGCATCACAATTGTTTTTGACTCAAATGGAAAAGCACTGCGTTGTTCTCATCAAACTGTCGTCTCTCAGTCAGAAGCTGATGTCTTTGGTTACGTCTGTTGAGACATTCACCCCTTAGCAGTTCCTGTTCCTGTTCCTGTCCCCCCTGGCTGCTGCTGTTGAGGACCAACCGTCAGATACACACATTGATGCGACTTATACTATCTTGGCTGTCATAGGCTAAATTGCATGCATGTAGGTCAGAACGTAAATAGGCCTACTAAGAGGTCTGAGCTGGTGCTTTCCCCCCTGGCGTGTTTCAAAGTTCCCGCATCCTTCCTCTTGATGAAGGCAAGGAGTTATGACGTTGACGTTGAGATGTAAACAAAGTTGGCTGACCTGCCTGCCTCACCACAGATGTCACCACAGTGTGATTGTTGATGCTTTTCATCAAATGATTTTATCATAACAACGACATGAAGATATAACAAAATGTTGTATCTGATGCACAATTTAGAGTTTGGTTTCCTGATGACAGCACACACACACACACACACACACACACACACACTCTTACCAGTGATTCTGTGTTTGTAACAACAACTTATGTGAATGAGGTGAAAGGTAAAGCTTTGGTGAACGTGAGGATGGTCACAGAGTTAGGCTAGTGTGGGTGTAGAATATTTTTTCATGGCTCCCACCATCGTCAACACACTCTACTTCCTGTTGAGTAATCTGTATGTGTAAAAGCCCACACATCACTCAAATGGTATTAAACTTAGCTGGTTTCTTTGATTTTGTGAGTGTACAGCTGAGGATTTACTGTACATTTTGCTGTAACAACAGCTCAGAAACAGAATTGTGTTGTTTCATTTTTAAAACATTCGCCTTCAGGCTGTCTTACATGCAGTCACAAAATTGGGGAAAAACAATTTTCTCACAAATTATTGGTCTAAATTCTCATCAGTTTATACAAAGAGACTATTTTTAGCTTCTTAGGTGGAGTAACCTTTCATTTAAATTGGGATTACCAGTCTAAGTATAACTTTTTAAACTGCTTGACAGTCCTACAAACTGGAGCTCCCTCGTCTTTCCTTTGTAGACTGAATAAAAATTTAGACTTTACAGTAACTGCCTTACTCATGGCCAGCATTGGGGAGTAACTAGTTACATGTAATTAGTTACAATAATTCATCCATCCATCCACCATCTATACCGCTTATCCTGAAGAGGGTCACAGGGAGCTGGCGCTAATCCCAGCTGACATTGGGCTGGACAGTCTGTCACAGGGCTGACACATAGAGACAGACAGCCATTCACATTGACAGTCACACATACAGTCTGGCTGGTGGTCGTGTTGTCGGACAAGAACGATTCTCAGTGCTGGAAATTCAACAGTATTTTCCTTCTGAAATCAGAAAAGCTTTGCTTGGTGCCCGTTCAGTAGTCTACATGTTTCAGCAGTAATATATTATGTAAGTGAAGCTATGTTAAAGAATTTTTTACAGTAATCGCTGTGGAGTACTGTTGTGAGGATTGCATTTACATTTTTACATTTTTAACAGGTAACTAACCAGTCACCATCCGACACTGCTCATGCCAGTACAGCGGAGGATAATGTTTCACTTCCATAATATTCATAATTTTCAAGGCCTGGTTGCAAAATAAAACAGGACGTGATCTTAAATGACGAGGATGTCTAGTAATCTAGGAAAGTTTTAGAGGTGAGTTTTGAGGAACAGCACAAAGAACTGAACTTTCTATATTGATAGAGACCTTGGCACCTCAAGAGACTAACTGAATGGCTTCCCGTTTTTTTTTAAAGTCCTGCCATAATGAACTACAAAATATCATGACTGAGGTCTCCTTATTTTCTACTCAACTACAGTTATTTGCAATTAGGTGTTACTTTACATATTACGATATTATTTTTGCTCAGATTGACCACTTATATATGTACCTATTAATGCAGACATATTATTCCTATAGGAATATAACCCTGTACTCACTACCTACATTTTGCTGCTGATGTTTATGTACCTTTCTTAAATGTAAGAGTTTTTAAAAACTGTAATAAGATATATGTGAGCATGCCCTCTATCACTGCTTTTCTAATCAATAAATAACATTGTTGAAAAGAATTATAATTTGGTCATATTTTGTAAGAGCAAATAGCGCAGCAAATTTTTATTATCAATGAATCTGCCAGTTTTATTTAGTTTTTGTTTTTTTGGTTAACTGATTAATTGTTGCCTGAAGTCTGAAGTGATGTCAAGAAAAAAACTGAGAATCTGCAACTGGTTTCTTTTTTTTTCTCAAAAAATTAATGAATGGATTTTGATGCAGTCTTTTGGAGAGGTAGCGTATGACCCACGGAACAATCCGTTAGATTC